ATTAATATATATATATTATGTGTTCTCTCTCTCTCTCTCTCTCTCTCTCTCTCTCTCCTTCCCTCCCTCTCTGTCTCTCTCCCTCTCTCTCCCCATCCCTTTTCTCCTGTATTTTTTTATTTGCCTTTTTTTTCCTTCATCTAAAGGTATGCAAATCAAGCATTTGCGAAATCAAATCGAATCGAATCTTTTTAATTTGAATACAAATCGAATTTGAATCATATTTTCCCGGATTTACATTACAAACGATTATAAAAATGATTTTTATAGCAAATTTGGCATAGAAAGAATCTAATACTCATTTTATTAACTCTAACTAAAATTGGGTGATTGTATTTAATGAATGTTAAATTAATACCAAAATGGATATTACTGAATAAAATAAATTATTTTTACATACACACACAATCGGTATTTGATGTGATATAGTGTTAATTTTTTTATACATATACGATTCCAGAAATATTTATGATAGTAAATTAATATTTTTAATTACATCGAGAAAGGACCCGCAATTCATAGAATTTTAGTGTTCAATAATATTCGAGATGCATAGTAATAGTTGTACAAGATACAAAATTAATCGCGGGAGATATAAATGAAGCAACTCAAATAGACAATTGATTCAAAATTAAATTATTTATGATTCGAAATTCTTGAATTATTCAATTTCGAATATTTCAGATTCGAAAACGAATCGAATTGAATTGTTTCTCCTTCTATTTTTACCTTCTTTCCTTTTCTGAATTTTTTCTTTTTATTTCTTCCTTTTTCTCTTTATTTTTTTTTCTTTTCTTTTTCCTTCTTTTCTTCTTTCTCGTTTTCTCTTTCTCTATCTTATTTTTAATTGATATAAAAATAAATAAATCTTATTTTAATATTATTTTATAAAATAATACATTTATTTCAGATCGACTACAGGTAATGGCTATGTTTTTTATCCTACATTATATTCAATTAAAGCTCGATTAGAACTTGCCGAGAAGTTGGGTACAGGAATCTCAATTTGGGAACTTGGTCAAGGATTAAATTATTTTTATGACCTACTATAAATTACACAATTTTCGTATTGTATAATCAAGCGTTTGTAAAACTTGCTCACAGCTTTTGTAAAACTTGTATAATAATAATGTGTACATATATAGAGATAACTGCAAAATATATTCTATCGTTTATGTATAAAAATTTATATATTATTGATAAAAGAATATATCTATATATCTTTTCTCCTATCTTGTATAACTTTAATGCATGCATATATCTTTATAACTCATTGTACTAATGTTATCACCACTATTATTATCTGCTATGCTTTTGTGCCTCCCTTGATTCACGACCTTTGAATGTCATCATGATCTGTGGTCCTTTCAGAATGTGATACATTAATGCCCAGTTTATCTTCATCGGTAGTAAGCTAACAAGTAATATCAATAAGTTATCAAAATATTTGTATTAAGTGTATATACATGTGTATATGTGTATGCACAAAATGATTCATATAAAGCGTTAAAAAAAATCAAGTTAACATTGAAGTTCTTTACACTTTCACTTACAAAGAGATCAATTCCATTACATAATGGCTGCGTTCAGCAGAGAAAGCAGATC